GTTCCCACATACTTCTAAAACGAGGTTGACCACCAATATCCCACATCTGAAAGTATTTATCATTATGCATAGTTCTACCTTTATAGTGACATTCCCTTTCGTAACTTTACGCAAATTAAAACCGACAGTAGGTATCATATCTTCATCAAATTTTCCAGACTAAAAAAAATCAAAGGGTTTCAATCATTTCATAGTTCAACTAAGGTATACTACCGAACCAATCATGTTCGGGACAATAACTTACAGCAATTACATTAACAAAGGTGGTCTTGCCAGAGTACTGAAGACCAACCAATGTTAATTCCATCTCTTCCTTCCAGAAAAGGCTTCGGATCCAATCGAGAATACGCTGGAAAAACGCCAGCATTATAATACTAACTTTTCAGTAGTGAATGGACAAAGTAATATGTGACTAAGTACCGCACGTAAACGTAAAATACGGCATCGCATTCAATCATCCAATATCCAATATCTTTTTCACGAGCCAGTGTAAACCAGTTGATTTCTTAGAGCTCGATTTTTGTTCTTTCAGCACGGTTCCAGGTGTTTAGTAGTGTCAAATTAATGAGGGTCTAGCAATGCGACTGACTAATTCTCGTCAGTTGGTTGTGAGTTTGCATGTCTCGGGATTTGAATTAAAAACGTTAGTTTCAGGACATTATGGTTTCTGGATACCAGCAGCTATCGTATTATTGCAATTAGGAGAATAATAATGATAGAATTCTGATGCTCATAAGAGGATTTCAGAACTAAATAAATAAGTTGACCGTTCTTGGCCAAGCATCCGTGACAGATCAAAACTGTTTTCTCTGTATCGCTCATATCTCACGACAACTAGTGATCCTATATCACACATAATGCGACCTTTGAGGACATATATCTTCCAGCTTATTCATTGGTTTCACGAATCCTAGTATAAAAAATTTCTGAAGACGAGTTACCTAAGCCTTCAATACCGTACATTATATAGGTGGGATTTATTCTTGTTTTTAGAACTAGATTGTTGTATCTCCAGTTTGTAAGAATGTGAACGAATTTCGATTTACCTTGTGTTTAACCTTAAAAACTTACAATAAGATGGAAGTATTTCGTCGTAATCCTATAGAAAAAGGGAGTTACCCTTGATGTTGGCAAGAGACAGTAATGGCTTTATCAAGTTATTCAACTTTCTGTTTCCTCCTAAATAGTCAGCACAGCAGCCACATACTGACGTTTGCGGCCAAGCTCTTAGTTTTTCGAACGTTTTCGTCCCTGTTCCTGCTCGTATTTTGCTTTACTCAAATGAATCAAATAGTGAATTGCTTTTAAGTGAACATGAAATAAAATATTTTTATTACCTGGCTCACGCTGAAGCATTGAAATGTGATTTTAGCTCTCACTCTGATTCAGAAAGGCATTTCGACGACCATAACGAATTTAAATTCTGCATTGTTTAAACTAGGTGCCTTAGGTCACTTAGGTAAGCTAGCTGTATCAAACGATTTGGGCGTCTAGAGTTGTACGTGAATGACGTAACTTCCTAGCCGACGTCGAGGGCACACCTCATTGATAACAACTAACATCCAGTTACCTTTTTTCGTATCCAAGTACGATAGATATTTGGTGACAACTGCCTCAATTGACAATGCATGATATACCACCGATTTATCCGCGTTGGTTGCCTTTTACTTCGACAGGGATCGGTAAACTCCTCTCCATCTAGTGACCAGTCTGATGCATGATTTGGTTAGGGCCTAAAGACATTTCACTGACCTGACTGTACTGAAGTGTTGTGAAGTTCATGGTTCAATAGGTTTCACTTATTTGTTTCTGCTCTACTTGGTTTGAGTAGCATCTCTATCAGATACAATTACTTTGCTATTGAACGATCCTTGCTATGACAGAAAAACTGAGTTATAAATCTTACATTTGTAGGGAAAACGAGGAAGACAAATATGGTTGGAAAAATAACTTTTTGGATGGATGAAAACGGATATTGAACTACTGGGCTTGTGATACTTAGGGTGGCTGAATCATGGTTATGTTAACTTCTATCGGGTAATCATCAGACAGGTAGACTGGGCTATGAGTGTCCACCGAATACACGTTTTTCTCCTCAGCAATCCTAACTGTTAAGTTATCCCCCAAATTTGTAGACCGTCCATTACTTTGACTTATCTCTTCGAACATTGTACGTCAACACATTTGCGATACGGACGGGTTGGCACAACGTATTATGCTTTGCAGACATGTGTAACTTATTCTATAAAATCAGGTTGTATAACAATGTTGGTTCACTGCTGCTGGAATCGAAAACGTCCAAATCAGTTAATAATCCTTGTAGGCTGAGTCAAGAGGATTAACTAATGGCTTTACAACGGCTCTTGGAATATTTAGTGTGGAATCTTTTTTGAATGTTTTATTTTTTGAAAAAATTCCTCCATGTATATATATTTGTGTTATGATATGACTGACTCTTTCTGTTGACATTTTGGTACTCTATTTGGTTCCATTTTGAGATTTTAGCATTGTATATTGTTATTATTTTTATATTTTGTACTTATATTGAAGTTTTTATGTTTGTTTCTGAACTGTACATATGTTGTTTAAATTTGATATTTAATATGGCTACAGCCATTTTGGATTTGATACCGTAACAATTTGGACTGGAAGCACTTATTCTTCCAGAAGCGGATACCCACCAGGGTAAATTGGACTTGGAAGGTGTAACAATAACCGTTTTCTCCCAGAATTATTGTGTTTTTGATATCGGATTCGGGACAGCGCGTCCTAAACTACACCTATTGGAAACGGAGTGAATTGCTGTGGTAGAAAATCCATCTACATTTAATCCGTTCCATGAGCGAGTTAAGATTCATTGTATCAAACGTCAGGTTTTGTCGCTACCCTTTTTTGCTAACCTTGGAAGACCTTTTTAATATTTTGGGCTTGTGAATGACCGACAAAACATAAGCTGACACATAGCTATTTGATTAGCTGTAGTGCAACCAAACTTTATAAGTCAACTTCGCTAGCTTCAACGTTAAATCTACGTCAGAAACTGAATAAAGACATCATGTAGGATGTCTATATGTATTGGGATATTAATCTGATAATCTCAGGGATTTACTAAATAAATGTGGTACTGAGTCGTAAAAAGAATCCTCCTTCCAAATTTCGTTCATCCAGTTCACCATGGAGAAGATAGCATAAGTATAGCACAGATAACACAAACGCTCTAGTTATTATGAAGACCAAAACCACTGGAGTTCCTAAAATTTTCTCATAATGGTAGATAGAGATGTCTTCGAAATTCAGGGACTGAGAACTCTGATTCCAACTTTTGCGTATGAACGTAAACATGTCAATTTGATATGCTTGAATTATTACGAGTCTACCTTAATTGTTAAACGAGAGTGAGGATCGACGATCCAGCGATACGACATGCTACTCTAATCCGAGTGTCCCAACCGTCATTTAGTGAAAGAAGAAGACTTGATATGAAATAGAACATGTATTCTACAATCATCCCGAAAGTATGGGGTCCGAGTCCAGAAGAGTACCAGGATTCCGGACTAGGGATCGGAGTCCGGATCCGAGTCATAAAACGTTACAGATAATGCTTATTTAAACAGTCAAGTCGAATAGGAAATAGCATCGAAGTCTGTGATATTAAAAGTTAAGGTGGCCAATGAGAAATAACATTTGAAGTGACACTGATAGTCATGACGACCAATGGAAAATAACACTGAAGTACGTAACATTAATAGCTTGGACGACTATAATATGGACCAGTAGGAATTAATCAATAGGAACTGACCATTCGAATTAGACTTACAAGTTATTCTCTTAGGATTTTGGATGGATATCCTAACACTAGTAAAACCCCCATGACCGAACATCTCAAGTACATTCTAAATTAAAGGTAGGAATGAAGGAATTTGGAGATATATTTAAAATATAGTTGATGTGTCAAGAAGTATATGATCTAGACTGGGAAGTTATTGCGAGGGATGAGCACCCGATGGTGATCTTGCGTGGATGCTTGATCGATAGCATTCAGCTTGTGTGTGTCCATTCAAACTAGTGAGGTTGGCATCGATTTTGAAGACTTGCAGAACTATTTGTTTTGGTGACATGCTTATTAAGATATCATATTTGAAAACGAGTGCACAAATACTTGTGATGACTATTATGAAAGTACGCATTAGAGAATGCAGTACATTCCATATACAGCAACTTTTCAATTATCGGAAACGTAGAAAACAGTTAATCAAATTTATAGTCTTGTCAGGAGTCGATATGATATTGACACAAGTCGTGGTGTGAATTTATCTGCTGGAATGCAATGTTTTTGGTCATCAGTATCGGCAATTGTCTGTCTCTCTATAATCTCCTAGATTAAATATGGCAAGGTAATTGAAATGGTGACTTTAGAGTACATAAATGTAAGTCAGCGCCAAAACACTAACCAGATGGTGAAGCAAATAGATCTGGTTTGAAAAACGATTATAGAATTAGTCAGCATAAGGTTTGAATTTAAACAAACTGGTAAAGAAATTCAAATATCACATGAATTTTTTTTACTCTCTGTATTTTCATAATGTATTGTCCGATACTATCGTTCAGTGATCATCCATAAATCACAAATCCTCATTCTATATCAAAATTCTTCATTCTAGATTTTGCTTTGCTTCGGCTTTTTCTTTCTGTGTATTGTTGAAGTACTTGTTACTTATCGCAAACTGTATAAATGCCTAGTAATTAATGCATTTTACTTTTAAATGCACAAAATCATTTGGTACATCTTCCTAAAAGTACCCAATTTTTCTGCATTTTGAGTGTCTGTATGTTAGTAGACGAAATGTGTCTAAATCGTAGATCAATTACTCGGTGGCTAGATGACAAGTTCACAAATGCATTGTCAAAAAATAAATGTCTATGTTTGTACTTGAATTTCTAGTTAACTTGTATTAAGTCATTGTATCGTTCATGAGAGGATTAACAAAAAGTGTTAATTATGTGGGTAAAGTTATATTATATTTACGATTAACTGAATGTCGCAGAAAATTGGATAACAGATAGGACAACTACTTATTCCTTCATTTATTTGTAGTTTACAACAAAAATTATTCTCATGAAATATAAGTATATAGTTATCACTACTATATAACTGAATACGAAGGAAATGTTAACAAACTATATCCAGTTTGGGAGAAATTTACTGAAAATAAAAATATGCAATACCAGTCAAATTAATTATGAAAGGATATATATATATATATATATATATATATATATATATATATATATATATAGTAACATGATAGGTACATTCATTCAAAGTTCCCAAAGTACAAAGTACATGATGATAATTCAGTACAGAGTAACATTGGTTAACCTTTCACTTTACTCTACACTAAATATAAAAAGAATAATATCAAATCTTGGTGAATGAATTAATGAAAAGTAGGATAAGAAAATTAAAAAAAAAAAATTAGACAGGAGAAAATGACAGATTTTGCAATCAATTCAACAGTTCACTTTCGTTTGATTTGGTTACAATGAAGAATACTAGAAAAATTTTTCAAGTGAACTAGAAAATCAAATAAACGAATAAGGGAAAGTGGCATGAAGCGGCGTTGGTGGCGGAGGAATACTAAAATGGATAAGTGAAGATTTGATTGGTCGTAAAACTCACACACACACACACACAAACATAAATTAATCAATTATAATGTAGTAAAACAAACTGGTGAAATGGATGAATAAATCTTATGATATAAAATGATTTTATGCATCTGTATATATATATATATGTATGTTATGTAGGAAAAATCTATGAAAAGAATTGTTTATTCAGTAAAATTTTAAAATATAAATGCTATGAGATTTTAAAGTTGTTGTCTATAGGGTGAATATGACATAGGATAGATTGGAACAGATCTAGTACTTGATGAATCTCCTGAAAAGCAAAATAAATTGTTTATGTTAATAATAATAATAATAATAATTTGCTTGTAAAGATAAATATTAGTAAAATATAGTTAAGCTGTACATATGTTTGCAAAGTATAGTGCTAATAATAGTTCAGCAAATTAAATGAATTCCGTTTAAATATTCATTGACACAACTAGTCATAGAAAGTAAAGTTTGTGGGTTTTCTACTTCAAACATTGGCTAAGTGAATTAATTGTATTTCAATTAATAACGATTCGATTTCAGCGAATATAAAGTCTACTAAACTGTTTACTGATGACAGGTAGAGTAAAAAGTCTGTAAAACTGGTCTGGTTTTGTGAAAATTCAACTATTCAGAAGTAGTTTTCTTTACAAGATAAAGTCAAACTAGGAAATACTTAGAATTAGTATAGGAAAAAAACATTTATTCAGTCATGTTTCAGTAAAAAAAGTGATCTGAATATAAGGCTATCAGGTCTTACGGTAGTTGAGATAACTTCAAACTATTGAAATAAATTACTCAAATTTAAGATGGCAGTTATCGAATTTTTAAAATTGAAACTCATTCATTCACAGATCTATAACGTATTCTTTGAATTATAGCTGATGAAAACCTTAACCAGGAAACTCTAGTCCTATCTCTACACACTTAACCCGAATCGAAAACAACATAGACACTCATAAACGTCTATTCAGATCTTTAAAACGATTTGAAAAGATGCGTAATTTTCATTCGTAAGAAGGAATTTATAAATCTTTTCTTTTTAAGTTACTTTCCGAGTAACTTGTCGAATACTTAGATTAATTCATTGTTTGAATGGAATTTCTTTCCGCTATGTTCTGTTATTGTCTTCTTTCTCATAGACCATACACTTTCAAATGTTGTTTTCTATTTGCCTAGTAAGTTGTTTAAAAATCCGTTGCAGTTGCTATAATCTCATTTTACATGATAAAATGTATTTCTCGCTTTTTAGAATAACGCCTAATTCAGTGAAATATATATATATATATATATATATATATATATATATATATATATATATATATATATATATATATATATTACTAAAAATTAACATTGAAAGAAAATATCAAGATATGTGGTGTATGCTACTTATACGAACGATATAAGTAGTATAAGAAGGGACGCGAAAGAAGAACTCTCACAGTCACAAGAGGAAAACGGAAAGCAAACGGAGCAAAAGCAAGAAGTAAATGGAGTACCGACAGGAAGTAAAGGAAGCAACAGCAGGAATGGAAGAAGGATGGACCGTTGGAAGTCAGGACTCAAAAATGGTGTGCTAATAGAATGTTCAATGTAATGTTTTCGTTTTTAATTGACTAAGAAAGCAAATTTGCTAAATACAGTCTATCGCGCCTGCCTCAGTCTTCTCAGATATACTGACTGACTTCAGGATGAATTACATAATCTAGAGTTAAAGTGAAATAACAAGTTTAGGTTTTAAAAAAGAAATGACCCGAAAAGATATATCAAACTTGAAGTTAACACGAATTCATACTGTTTACTTTTCAATTTCTGCATTATAATTCACTTTTTTATTTGAATACACTAAATTTCAATGTTATTTAGTTATAATTAGTTACATCGTTTGTCGATAGCATTTTGTTTTGGTCAAAACTAAAAGTACTCTTTTCATGTTCAGAATTACTAATTCTACTGTGGTGCGAGCTACTTATTAGTAGTATATGACGTGAGTGTCAACGTAATGTCTGGCAGCAGAAGATGGGGGAAGATCAAGAAAGGAAGAGTTCGGAACACAATGGAATTTCTATGAAACGCATGAATAGTGACAATGGATTGATGTTTTGCAACAGGAACAGTCCAGTTTGATATGATGAACTGATATTTTGCAAATTAACGATTTACGATATGGTTTTCCTATTTTACTGAGTAACTAATACAATGTAGTACCTAAGAGATTTCGGGCTTACTAGTGAAATCTTCATCTGTCCATGAAAATATCTCACGATTTTTTTAAACAATTACCCTTTATTTATTTTACATATATTCGTTTGATTGAAAAAAAGCAGTAAACTTGTTTCACTACCTGTATATCCTCCTATTTCATCTAAATGTAATCATTTAAGCACCTTACCAAAGTATACGCATTCAGATTCCATACATACATTCAGAATTGATAAGATGTAATTAATTCTGTTTATGAAGAAATGCAGTGGCATATATATATATATATATATATATATATATATATATATATATATATATATATATATATATATATATATATATATATATTATGTACTAATCAGCATACAAACTAAAATCTGTTTTCAATAATCAATGCCTAATTAGTTATTGAAAAGAATATTTATTCAGTTTAGGCTTTTCTTTTAGTAATAACACTAATAAACTCTGTACTACTAATTGAATGTGTTCACTAATTGAAATTCATTCATATCTGTTAGTATAATTAACAGAATCATCAATCTTAACAGGGTAAAAACAAAAAAAGCTATTTCGATGAGAAAATTTCAATCTAGATAAATGAAATATGGTGAAAAAAAATTTATCATTGGATTTTGAAAGAAAATAATCTGACCAAAATCTATGTCAATGTTTATTTTAAAAAGGAATAAATAATAATAAAGTGAAAAACCAAAAAAAAATCTATATGTTTATTAAATAAGCGTTCATGTATATTCGAAAAGTAAACAAAAAAAAACATGATGGCTTTTTTTTGGTTTTGGACGATTTGTTTAATTTAAACAAATTGATTTATGATTCAATTTACCGCTACGAAACCGGTGACCTTCAATATCAGTGTTATTTTCAATTTGAAAGTTTCTAATACTGTTTGGTTTGAATCTCTTATACTATTGGATCCTTGAGTTTCATCTGCTCTGACAGATTTCTGGTTTTTTTGAAATAAGTCATACTTTAGTGAAGGAGAACACAGGTGAGGGCAATCCGAATAGTATTTAACGAAAATTACAGAGTTACTCAGTAAAATAGGAAAACCATATCGTAAACGGTTAATTTGCAAATCTTCAATCAATCATCAATCCATTGTCTGACATTTCACTTATTCATGCGTTCCATACAAATTCCATTGCGTTCCCACTCTTCCCTTCTTGATCTTCCCCCATCTTCTGCTAACAGACATTACGTTGACACTCACATCATATACTACTTATAAGTAGCGCGCACCGCAATACTACTTAGAAGCTTTCCTCTTAGATTATCGCCTATTGTAGTTCAAGGAACAAATGATGCATCTTACTGAATCAAACACATACCATTGAGAATAAATTCTGTGAGCATTCAGTTTTCAGTGTGGTCAAATAACTCTCACTCTCTAATCAATGGAAATGATGACAAAACTTATATCAAAAACTCATTCCATAAACGTTTCAAAATAGTTTATATATATATATATAGAATGAAATTCATGGTGATATTACATATCACAAACTTCATTGAAACAATTCTTTAATCACTACAGTTTAACAGGTAGTTTTTCATACAATCCATGAAAAGATGTAAAATCATACTAAATGTTTAAATCAAAAGATTTAATAATGGTTAATTTTCTTCTTCAGTACATTTTTTTTGAAACTATGGTTTTTGACAATTGTATAAAGAACCTTTGTAAAATAATCAAACAATATACATCCTATTTTTACAATATTTATAAAAAGAATTTCGAACATAATTAATGTTATGTTCGAAATTAAAATTTATGTTTACCTTCTTTAAAGCAAATATTTTCTTGAGTGTAAGTTAAGCGTATATTATCCTGATAATGTATGTAATATTTTCATGATATACTAGTTTGTTTTTCTTTGACAGAAACATATATATTGCATAACAATGTATCTATAGATGGAAAAATTCCACTATGGAATTTTGTGTGAACTACTTATTCAAAATGTTATGTAAACATTAAAAACAATAATTTTGTTGAACATGAAGAAATTTTGGGTAAAACAAAATAAGTTTGGTTTATTTCGAAATGATATATGTTAGGGAATTTGCAGAACGGGTTGATGTGTAAAAAGTAAGTGATCTGTAATATTTAACTATGTACATTTATAAAAATTGACAAGAGCATTATTTTCAGTCATTTATTATTTTCATAATTTTGTGAATTATATTCTTGTCAAATGCTTTTCTTATTATAAAGACAGTTTAAGAAACTGTGGATTGTTTCATTCAAATCTCTGAAATCATATGATATTGTTAGCGGGACATAGATGGGATTAAAGTATGATAGTGTTAGCTGCACGCTGATTGGCTAACTCTTATCCAATCAGCGCTAGCCGATACTTGGTAAACATTCTAGAAGCTTCTCATGTAAAAACTATAGAGAGACAAACGTTGTTCCTATATCGCCTTCGCTGCGGCTTCTTACTTCTATTTAACCTTGCTATTTGGAATATAATCACTTGCCTGTTCAACCGTGTTCTGATCTGGGGACTTGTCTGGTGGACTGATGTACGAGAACACTAAGCATTAGGAATAGCAGGGTTGTAATAAAGAGAGTATTATAACAAATATTAACTGAGGTACTACTAAATAAAGTAGTAATTTAATGTATTGGGGATTGATATCATTGGAATCATAAATTATTCTAGTAATTTATAAACAGACATTCTGCTTGAAAATGAAATCACCGAAAAGAAGGTTTTCTGTACTGCAATACTCATTATATAACAAGAAATCTGCCTTTACTTTAAAATAGCCACATAACAATGATTAGAGGTAAATTGTCTCTAGAATTCAGATAACAAAAGCTATGATTTATTGAAGAGAAGAAAATTAAATGACTAATCAGTTTATTTTCTGATTTATTCATGGTTAACCAACAAGCCTGCTGCACGTGCACGCCGCTGATTTTTAGGCAACACGGGGATTCTCACAAATGCCAATTTCGCGATCACGCCTGCCCCATACGGGAACGCACATGTTGTCTAGATTGGTCTGCAGGCAAGTGGACGTCCAAAAAGAACGCACACAAGCAGTGGCCCCCGCTCATGCACTTATGAACCAACAAGATCCCTCCAACCAATCCACCACCCACAATCCCCAATCAGCAAGGGCGGTAAGGCGGGCTTTCCCAGCCAGACCTGGCACCTCGAACGGATTACCGAGCCACCCAGCAGTGTACTAACCAGCAGCCGTTGCAGCCATCTGGCCTCCAACTCTCTTGCGCAGATACTGTCGACCGGAGCCCTCAAACTCCACATGAAGCTAAAGATCGAGTTTGTCCAACAAGGTCAGCCGGAACATACACCCTTCCATGGGATAGATGTCATGAACTCGACTAAGAGCAAGCACTCAGCCAAGCAGGGTTAATCCCACTACATAAGTGGGGAGACATCAATGGCGTCCAGTACCCTTCCAGCACTGGATCACATAACCCAACTGGAGATCCTCGACGCCAGCTGACACACTACACTGAAATGCAGTGTTTCGGACAACCACACAGAGTCGGCCTCAATAGTCTAGGATCTGTACGGCTGCTTCCCCAAAAAAGTCGTCTAGGGCCGCCTTCATGCAACCTGGAAAGCTATATCCCTTTCAAGGTATTTCAATTTACCTACGCTCAATGGACGGGATTCAGACTTACATGCGTTCAGTGCTAATCCCCCAGAGTGGAAAAACCGCATCCACGGACTTGCGACCATGAACACGTGCCATTATCCTGGGCCATGCTAGGCACAGCATCCTAAGCGTTCGGAACGGCTTTTAGCCGCAGCGCTGTAAACAAATCCACGTTGCTTGGCAGGACCACGAAGAGGTAGCCGCCATCATAACCCACAAAAGGCTCCATTTATGCAAGTCACCTAACATACCCGTTCAATTAGATGATGAGGCATACCCAATCAATAAATAAGTCTGAATTTTGTTTTAGTCATTTGGTGCCGTACTAATTTATTTGAAAAGTGATTCATTAATTAACTATGTAAAGTGAATATTTTATTGTTTGGAATTCCATGACTCTTATTACAATTTACATTTGTTTTCTATATGATTATTTTCTTATTTATAATTGACACATGATAAAGATTTACTTACTGTGTTCAGTGTAACTGTTCGTTATATAATAATTACTTTGATTGTACAAATCATTTTGTGAACATTGATGAGATGGAGACACTTTAATCCAGGCGACATTTTCACTGCGTTGGTATGATTGACGACCAATATTGTTTGTATTATTAGTATTCATTACACCTGATATTTGAATAGGTTGAGTAGTTACCCATTGATTTGGAGAAACATGACTTACTGCACGACCATAGTCATAGGAATTGAATTGAGTTTGAATATTATTATTATTATTATTATTATTATTATTCTGATTAGATTTAGGGTGTATAATTGTTGTTGACGTTGTTACATGATGCATTTGTGTTGGTTTAATTTGAATATCAGTAATAAATCCTTGATTGTTCATGTTTTGTCCATAAGGTTTAGTAAATGTAGTACTATAGCTAGGCGAGTTTATAATACGTGGTTCATGAGTGATTTGTTTCGGTTTAACAATTGGATTTCCAGTGCTTTCACTAATACTAAGCTGTTGTTCTAAAATACGAAAAGATTTTGTTTGAATTGGGCGGAATGATCGACCTCGTGTTAATGATCTTGTTGATAACTTTCTCTGACTACTATTATCCGAATCAATTGATGATTGATGAACAAACGAGGATGTAGTCATTATATGTGGAGCAATCTGTGCAACTTTATTTAAGTCTACACCGCGTCTTTAAGAAATAAAGATAAAAGATACTATAGTAATGAGACAAAATCATTAAAATTATAAACAACAAATCATGTATTCCACAATAAGCTTACATCATACAAATGTACTCACTAGTCAATAAGTCATCCTACTACAAATGGTAGATTGAGTCAAAATCCTTTTGTAGTAAATAAGGAAATCTAGCGTTCAATTGAATGTTTGTTCTGGTAGAGTATTCTCAGAGTAAGATTATTTTTTCGAATTGAGAAAATGAAACACTGCCAGACGATAGTTATGTTGTATTTCATGTAATGTTGAATCAAGTACTACCGCTTATATTTATGATATTGACTGATACCATGAGAACTGTGTATATATTATAAGTGTCAAGTTAAAGTTAAGTATCTGTCTAAGTATCTTTCTATTCAGTGCAAATCCATAAATGATGTTGTTTAAAAGTCTAAAAATACACTTGAATAACATTTTAGATTAAAATAGTTAAAGACAGATTTTCTGCAAATGTAAAATAAAACTTTTGGCATCATAAAATGAGGACAAACATTTGGTCTTTGGAGGTGGTTATGCATCTGTTAACATACTTCTACAAATAACTATGAAAATTTCGTTATAATATCTGTTATTATGATGTAGAGAATGAAATGAACTGTCATTATTACACTTTTAATTTTTGTTGAACAAACTAACAAGATAATCAAGAATTGAAGAAATAATTTGGGTCAAACACTCAATTGAAAGAATGTATACATCATCATATTTCTTGGACATTTGAAAACTAAAGTATTGGTTCATTGGTAAGTGATGGTCAGAATTAACTTTTGTACTGTTTGGTAATTGTCATCAATACATATGTGGAGTTGTGATCCTCATATAACTGAAAACCGGGTAATTTAGTTTCACAATGGAAGATTTTACCGAGGCTTCCCGTTGAATACCTTCAATCACCTAACATTATACAGAGTGACCACATTATCAAATCAAGTTGACAAGTCCCATAGTCAAACACAATTGTTATAATACGATTACCACTAATTAAGACATAAAATGATCTCAGCTACTAGTAGGCACTCAATTAAAGGAATATATGTTGCTTATAATTACGAGCTACATTCAACTCATATATCATCTGAAAGTAAATGTTTTCTAGTGAAACAATAACTTAGAATTTAAAACTGTTCATGAATTCTGACGACCAGATTTTTTGCAGGAAATGTTATATTTTGAATAGTAAAGCATTTAAAGAAAGAATAAAACTCTTCACTAGTTACTATTTGTTAGGTGTGAAATAATAATCATAGTATTGTAAGTCAATTTACAAGTAAAATCACATTGATACTAAGTAGAATTTGCATACCTGATTAATATAAGGTCTAATTCATTACCAGCCCGTAATATCTCCGCCTTGACTTGTTCATACGTTTTGCCAACTGTTAAAGAATTACAAATGCTTACTATAACGTCACCAACCTCTAAGCCTGCTTGATTGGCTAGTCCATTTGATGTCACCTGAAAAAATAAGAATGATAAATTATTCTTCACTTCATCTGGCACTGATTCTAAGTAGTTAAATGCGTGAACAGTACAGTGTTAAGCATGTGTAGATGTATCATAGAATTTAACTTAAAAAAACGTTTAAGGCAAAATAGTTGATATTACTTCATATATGCTAAAGATTCCCATTGTGAAAATTAGAACAACACATATAAGCGAACAATATTGTTTTCGATTAGATTGTCATCAGGCTTTACTATCTAATATACATGAATATTTATATGAAAATGTTAAACCAATCAAGGCAATTTAAGAGTCGATAATCACAATGAAATGAAATACATTACGTCACTGCATATAATAGGCAAAAGTACAAGTTGATCATAGTAGGAAGACAGGTGTACTGACAGTAGTAAGAAAATTATAAAATATGATAACTAAAGTTTTATCAATAGTAGGTCAAAAGTGGATGAATAGAATTCAAATAATCATTAAAAAAACACATCAAAACCATTAAGTAAAAAATAAAAAATAATGTCAAGCGTTAGTTACGTCATATCCGGCCACGGGAGAGATAGGGGTGTCACGAATTTCTTCTAAACACATAAACTGGGGTTGAATGTACGTATTCCTATGGCTTCTGCTATCTGTAGGAGACGGGATCGAACTCCGTTGGGAAATGATGGAGGTATACAATAGATCACCTGAAAAGATCTACACTTATCTACAATATGATCACTATCTACTCGGTGTGCTAAGATAGAACTGCGTATTGTTTTTGACTGACCCTTCGTAAACCATGCTGGGAGATGTTCACTCATTCGTTGGTTAAGTTGCCTGGAAGTACACCCAATATATATACTTCATGAGTTAGAATTATAAAATTCTTATATTTTCACAGATATAGGATTTATTTACTCTGATGTGATTACTCTGAACAACTCTGAGGTTCTCTGACGTGAGCTGTCGTAAAGGCAGTTGTTATTCAAGTGGTAAATTGGTCTGGAAAAATTAGATTTAATGAATTTAATATCTTTTATTCATTACACACAGAAACAATGTAGCGGTTGCTCCTTAATGTCTAAGAAGAATTCGTGGAACTGTGAGGCTCTGCGTTGGACTAGAATATGTTCCCTACATCACTGCTTCCCTATGGTTGTTACTAAATTCATAATCCTTGATTAGTTGTGTTATTTTCAAACATGATAGACATTACCAATACATAACTAAGATAAAACACTTAACTTAAGTGTCGTTCATTCTGTGTGTTTGCACTTTTCTGTATTCAGATCATGCAAGAATTTCAAAGCTCTGTTTTATGTAATTTCCCAAAAGTTGTTATTTTACTTTATTCCCTGTATATATTCTAATTATAAGGATTCTTGTAAAAAGTTTTAGGATTAATAACTAATTTCATAACTTTTTCTATTTTAAGCATATTAAAGTCACGCTTGAAACTCCAACGAAACGCTTGGAAAATTTTCTTCTCATTAACTGATTATAGAACGAATATACTTACTGTAACCAATCGCTAATTTAATCAATAGCTATAAATTTCTTATAAATTGTTTTTAAATTAAATCTATGCACTAAAGAATGATATCACTTGGGGGCGAAGTAAAATCAAGTTCCAGTGGCCAGCTGTCTCACCCTAGTATGAAACTCTTCGAAATTCTACATCCATGATTCCACCGGAGATCATTTTCAGGACCTCAGCGTTTCACGATGTGCTCTTTACAGTCAATACAGTCCTAACTACACTCGATTTACAACAGAGCCTTAAGAGGTTTAAACACCATTGTAGACAACTGCTTATCTCTCGACGTACTTGAGCTTCACCAATTATAACTTTTCTCTAGAAACTCAATTATATACTGATGTAAAGCACTAATACATTCACTTTTACAGTTTAACTGAAAGAGTTTGTTAGTGATTCATTTAATTTGTAGGCTATAACTATCACAAATTTATTCGCAATACTGACGAGTTCCACAATACGAAAAACCAACTATTCAATGCTCCAAATGAAGTTGGCGTATCACTAATCTTCACAATATCTTTTCAACCAAATAATTTGAACTAGTTTTGATCTTATTTAATTACTCTATTATAACCATACTGAACATTGAATTTCAACGATTAAAAATCTACCGTTAAAAGTTCATTTCTATTCAATAATCAAATCAATGTTGGAATTTTGTTAATCAAGTCAAACAGAAAAAAAAAAACCCAACCAAATGTTTAAACTTATCAACAATTTAAAAAGAAAAAGATTTTTGAATACATATATATAGATATATATAACACTTAAATTATTTTTTTAAAATAAAATATATATGACAATTGTGTTATATTTATTATTACTAGGTCATATGGTAATGTTAAACTGAAGTGTTATTACCAAAAAGAACAACACAAAGCAAACAATCTAATTATTTCCTGCGTTTTTTTTTGTCCTTGAACACAAAAATTAAGCGCCCTTTCTTTTTTTTGCACTTTTATTCATTCGTTCATTGATCACTTGTCAATGAGATGATTTTTGTGAAAACGCGAAAAACACAACCTGAATACATGTTCTTTGCATGTTTCACTTTCTCCCTTTCTCCTTCTTTTCACTCCGTGTCTTTTTTTGTTTTTGATTTTCCAGAAATTTCTTTTTTCCTTTTTTGTTTTCCAAAGCACCTGACAGTAAACTTATTTGTTTAATTCTAATGTCATTATTACACAAATTCACAAAATGATTGAAATGTATTTTCCCTTACCTTATATTTTTTGTTGAAAAGATAATACAAATGTTTAACAGTGTGTGTGTGTGTTTTTCTTTAGAAGAGGACATTAGAAAAGAGATGATTTTTGTTTTCTTTTCAATAAAATATGTTTTATTTCATCATGACATAAATTCTAAAAGAAAATATAATTGATTTGCTTGAAATATTTTGTGTTTTGTCATGTAAAAGCATGCGTTTAGTTTCGCATTGAATAACAACTACTTAATGACAGGAAACATAAGAGATATGCTGCATTGAAATTAATGTACGTTTTTATTTGTAATTTAGTCGAATACTTCTGTTGGGGATGTTAGATCCCTAGAATTCACTTGATAAAGATTTTAATTTTGGATTTTATTCATTAGCTAATCAGTTGACCTTGAGATCACATCTCCCACCAGGCAAATCCTTGGCTGTGATTGGTTGATGTGTTAGTTTAGTAAGCTATTTTTGTAACTTTCCCAAGGACGTTTCTATGATGGATAAATAAACGCGATTTGTATGCTTGAGATCATTGTGTTTGCTAGGGTGTTTGTTGAATACACTTTCTATGCCATATCAAGACTTTTTCTTCAGTTAGTTGGGGCAAAAGAATCAGAGTAGCTTACCTTGTCAATGGGTCATTGTTTCAATCTCGTTTATCGACTAAGTTGAACTCGTAATAGTTTCAAGCATATCAAGTGACGAGCATAAAAACTTTAAATATTACTTTAACTGAATTAAAATTAGATTGATCGTTGATGTATAAATAAATGAATTTTTCAGTTACATGAACTAGAATTTAACTAATATATCTGAAAAAAAATTGATAGCACAATTTGAATTCATTTGTAAAACTATTGAATATGAAAACATCTATTTTAACTGAGTTTAAAAACTGAATAGTGATTTGTTTACCGGTAAGCTAAAAATCACTATATTTAATAAATAGTAAACACTAAACCAACTGCTCATATTTATTTGTACAATTTATCTAAATAAATACAACTCATTTAGTCGAGTATTATTAGTTCATTTATTCGGCTACGAGTCATAGATTTTGTTTGGGAGCTAAAGTTACTACTGAATTACTGGCGAGATACTTAAACATTCAGGATTTCACTTTATGTTTTGGTTAGAAATGCACACTAATTGAAGAGTTCAAATTTGGGACGAATCATTTCTTACTACTATCAGTGCACCTGTCTTCCTATTATCAACTCGTACTTTTGTCTATTACGTGTAGTGACGTAATCTATTTCCTTTCATTGTGATTATTGACTCTTAAATTGTCTTGATTGGTTTAACAGTTTCATATCAATATTCATGTATATTAGATAGTAAAGCCTGATGACGATCTAATCGAAAACAATACCGTTCGCTTGTATGCGTTGCTCTAATTTTCACAGTTCTACTAAATGGTAACATAATGTCTTCAAATTAGATAAACTCCATTCGACTTGTTGATTTCTAAAAATTTTTCTTTATTCGGGGATGTAATTATTATTGCAATTTACAAATATGGTATTAAACAGTATCAAGACTTTATTTATCTTAATTAACTATCTCTTTTTCCACGAAATAAAATAAACTCCAGTAAGTCGCCAGTTCAGATTTTTTTTATATTTTGAATGGCGCTAAAAGATGATCAGATATATAAAACAACTATATATGAATTCTCATTAGTTTGTTCATTGATTTACGCAAAGAATCACTTTTACTTTTATAAATATTAATTTGAATGAAAATAGTATGAATAATAAGGATTAATTAACTACTTTATACATATTGTACCATTATCAATGGGATAAATTTGTTTGACCTGTTCCATATGCACGTAAACACGTCAATTTAATATGCTTGAACTGTTACGAGTTTACCATAGTCGGAAAACAAGAGTGCGGATCGACGATCCGGCGACACGACAGACTACTCTAATCCGATTGTCCCGACTCCACCATTGAGTAAAAGAAGACTTGGTATGAAGTAGAACATGTATTCTACAAACATCTAGAAAGTACGAGGTCTGAGTCCAGAAGAAGACATGGATCCCGGATTGAGGATCCGAGTCCGGGCCATAAAACGTTTCAGATAATGCGTATTTATATATTTAGATTGAATAGCACCGAAGTCTTTGACATTGACAGTTAAGACGACCAATAGGAAACAACATTGGAGTACGTGACATTAATATCTAGGACGATTATAAAATTGACCAGTATAAATTGACCGAGAGGAATTGACCAATAATTCTCTTAGGATATTGAA